GAAATATTTATTTAAGTTGATAAGTACCTCTGAGTTTTCAGGATGTTGGTGTAATCTATACAAAATATGCTAAAATTAATGAAGGTCCAAGAAATTACATGACATGAACAAGTTTATAACTTTAGGCTACATTGTCATCTGTGGATGTTCCTCTGATATATCTAATCTGATCCCTAAAACAATTGTTTATCATTTATGATATAATGTGTTGAAATGCTTTTGTTTCATTACAAGAAGAGATCTCGCTCTGTGTTTACTAGTGATAAAGATGTTTCTTACATTCAGTAGACATTCAATCTTATTATCATTTGTTATACAAAAGATAATTAAATTATTAATTTTGTCATTGTGTATTATGATAATAATAAGATACGTGATCATGGAAATGCCAGTTGACTACCTCATATTGCAAGTTAAACATTTGATCACTTGCAAAAATCTGCAAGTAGAAAATATTGCTAAATTCTAACCCTGCTAGAATTTAGAATATATCTGCAGCTATTTTTAACTTTTTACACAAAATTGTTTCTTCAGTATTTATCATGTTTATCAGTTAATGTTTCTCTAAACATCATTTAGATTAATTCTAGTGTTATGGTTAAGGGCGAGTGTTATGGGTTTGGGTTAATTTTATTGGTGAGGGTTAAAACACATGAATTTGCTGCAGATTCTAAAATTGCTCAAAAACTATTTCAAATACAAATTTATGTCTATTATGAAATGCTGAAATAAGTCAGCATCAATGTTTGAACAACTATCTAACGAACTTTATTTAAACCAGTCTCAATCGAACGAAACATGTACCTTTACCGAGGTTTAATCAACATCACTAAACAATTATCATAAACGTGCTAAAATTACGGCAGCATATTTCATACAAATACACGAAATAACTCCATTGACAGTTGTAAAACATGACATATAACGATACTTACCCATTCATTTGATTTAGAATTAAACGAATATAATGCAACTTGCGATGCAGTATCCAATATTTCGGAAATATATGGATCTCTTTGCTGCAGAGCAGCTAAATTCATCCTTCCTTCCGCCATATTTGAAAGAATGCAGTGTAGCAGAAAATACAGCTTCGCTCTGATAGGTCGAAAATAAAACAGTAAATTTAACACAAGTAAACTACAACGCGTGATACATTTTATTATACAAAAATTGTATCAATATTATAACATGGTGATAAAGTCCTATTTATTTCATGAATTAATTAGAATATTCACTTCATTCTTTTTATGGTTCAGTGATCAGAAAACAGGTCATCTGTGACAGAAGCCTTGCGGTGAAATTTTCACAGATTTTTGCACCTTTTGTTGATGTCTGGTACACTGTAATACCTGTGAAATGTATTGAATTAAAAATCCATTATTGATTTATTTGCATTTAAAACATGTGTGTGGTCAATTTGTGTCATTGTGTTCTATTTCTATTTTTGAACCGTGGATGCTGAATTCCAGCGAAAGGGATGCTGATTATTCGATTCTTTGGATAATTTTATAACGAACACAATTTCTCGGAATTTTCATGATGTCCGCTGTTGAAAAAGGTATCTTATGTCTCTATATGTAAGGATATTCTCGTGGAAAGCAATAAAATATGTATTAAGGTTTATAATAGGTGGGAATTTAGATTTAAAATAGAAGTCTAATCAGAGATAGAGCAAAACATTGATTGACTGGAAATGGAATCTCATGTTTATATCATGATAATATGGAAATAAAATAGCAATAAAATGATAAAAGTTAGTGTTTTGTACATGAATTCAACTTTGTTTCATACCAGTTTTTATTGCTGAAATTAAAATAAAAACCCTTCATTTTGTAAAGAATTAGCATTATATTAATAAAATGCATTGAAATAGAGTTTATTGGCCTAGACCAAGTTGTATTTGAATATTATGACTTTATATAAGTCACTTCATATTAACTCAGAGGTCACTTCATATTGATTCAGCATGTATCTTATTTGTTTAAAATTTACACTATATGAATGGATACATGCTTGAAATAAGGTACAGAAAGGACACACTTGGCACTGCCACCCTCTTAAGCTACGACCCAGACATGTCTGGCATATGAATATATTTAATCAGTTTTACTTATCAGCCCATATGTCCTGTGAACAACTATTTTATTTACTTTTTGTTATGTCATTGGTCAACATTTTAGGGATGTAGCTTTAGGGGGGGGGGGGGGGTTTGGTGGTGCCACCCCTTTATGAGGGATGACATTCTTCCCATTATGATTTATGAATGAATTTTCACTCATGAGAGCTTTACAATCCTTACTTACAAATAAGTTTCTACAATTCATTGGAGTTAAAAATAATCAGGAGAAGGAAACAATTGAACAAATGACAACAATTGAAGAAATATGAAAATCTATTCCTGATTACACAAGAACAGACTCATTAAGAGTTTTAAAATATATTTATATTTAAAACCTACACATTTACATAAATTTTCTTTGTGATATATTTACACATTTTACAGATCTATCTTAAGTTTTTTATAATTGTGTAAAGTACAAAAAAATCTTTTGGTTTGATATTATAATTTATAATAATTATTATATACTCTGACATCTACATTCACATATATATGTTATAATATTTAACTTAAGTACCTACCCAGTTGCCTTCTTGGTGCTGAATTAATAAATGGAACACTGGGTTCTTCCAACATAAAAGCTGCAAGGGAGTTGCAATATACATATATAGATGAATTTATCTTATGCCATTACATATATATGAAATTATTATTTAAGACATATAATTAATTTCATTAATGTATATATGCAACTAATGGCATAAGATTAAAAAAAATAAGATCATCAGTTCTGTTTGTTGACTTAATGTAAAATACAACCATATTTGTTAACATATTGTAAATTTTCTTGGTGGTATCAGGCCTGTAAATCCAATAAAAGGCTTCAAACAAATTTATGACATTTTGCAAAACAATAGGAAAAGAGTCTGCATTAATCTCCAAGAAATAAGGCAATGGATAGTTCTTAAGTTACAAGAAATCTGCTTTGAAGTTAAAGCCTGAGAAATAGAAAAAATGCTTTGAAGATGTGTCTGAGAAATCTCTAATTAAATGTCAGCTTTGATAAACTTGTTTTAAGGAAATGTCTGTAGAAGGGAATAGGTTGTGTTCTTTTATGAAGAAGATGCAGTTTTTATTGAAACTCATAAGGTGGAATGTTTTATTATTGAAAGTAATACAAGAAAAAGAAACAGCCACTTAGGAGGTCAAATCTTAAAATTAAAAAGCATAGTTGTAAAAGCTGACATTTTATCGTTTTTTTTTTAATTTTTAAAACTTAATAAAAGTCTTCCTCTTCACTCTTTTGACAATGGCTTTTAATACTGTGGTGTCAATTCCTACCTTGCTACCTGAACAAATATTATAAACATGAACCTGCTGAATTTGTGCTGTATATAGTTTGGTCAGACAGCACAGATGTACAGGCAGGCCTGGTTCTATACTAGTGCCAAAGGTTACACACTTTTTTTTGTATCAGTCCCATACATATTTAAAGTTCATACAAAATTTTGGAAAATTTAAACAAACATTTATGCTTACTTTTCACACATAAAATGAAAATCCTATAGTATCATATGCCTAAAGGCTGAGCTATTTAGTGGAAATATATTTACAAATTTTTATTAATTTTCAGGATTGAATTGAGAATTTGAAAATTCTGTAAGCCTTTTTCCAATTGACAGATATTATATCATTCAATATATGATTTTACATGCTTAAGAAAAACTTTTACTTGCTTATATGTATACATGCAGAAAACTTTTTTTAAGCAAAATACATGTTACGATGTAAATGTTTCTACATTTTCTGTTGAGATTAACTATAAATAACATAGTGACTGGTACGATATACATGTATGCAAAACTAAGACATCTGTTGATAATGTACATACATAATTATATTAGGCAAGTTTATGTAATCATAGATATCTCACAAGTACCTGTTGTTAATTAAGATTGTTATATAATTTACAAAGTGATTCCATGCCAAGAGACTATATTTCATATAAATGATAACAGTGAACTCAAGAATTGACTCTTTAATAACTGTCATTTAGACATTATATAGGAGATACTTGGATGCAGACACTGAATGATTTAAAGCAGCTTGCCTCCGGATTCATGCTAATTTTCATCAAAAGTATTTAAAAGTATAATATTGTGAAGTAACCTAAAGGAAGCGATTTGCACATTATCAATGGCACTTACATACATACAAGACATGTTAACTACCAAAACAGGTTGAAATATGGTTTAATTATTTATTTGCATATATTGGATAACTGTTTAATATTACCCTACCTCCAAAGATAATTCATGTTATCAGCTACGTGTATATTGCTTTGAAAGTGAATTTTTGACAAAGAGCCATAACTGTGCATAGAAATGTATTTTTTGATAATTGTTACCCCTGTCGGTATACACAACTGTTATTTTTGGTTTCTTGGTGTATTTTTTTTTATCAAAATTGATATAAACAAATTAACAATTGCCTTTCCAAGTTCACTAGAAACAAAATTGTATTTACACGTGTTAAATTATGTTTGTACATATATCATGTCTGAGTAACTGATGGTCAGGTTCAATAAATTTTCCATTGCAGTTTTGTAAGAAACCATGGGTTTTCTAGAAAAAATATTTATTGTTATAATGCTGCAATTATAGATTATAAGAGTTTTTTTTTTTTAGCTAGATTATGTTTCTGTTCTTTTAGAGATGGATCTTCATTGATGTTCAATCATGCCAAAGTTATTTTTATGTAACAAAGCAGATAATATAGAAAGTTTTCATGTATATATTAACATTTACCTTGTTCTCCTTTAGATCTTTCTGATAAGCCACACTGGCTTGCAGTGTTATGTATAAAGCAACAAAAGTTATCATAAATTATCAAGACAAGGATCTTGTAGCCACCTACAATCTGGCACATCACTAAACATTACCTCCCTTTGATTCGTAATCTTAATTGTGGAGTTTTTTTTGTAGGGTACTTTAACATTATACATTGTAATTTTGTGAGGAAATGACTAGTGTTCAGTGTTATTGTTTCTTTATTCTTAAAAAAAATTCTTGTGTTGGATAGATTATTGAGAGTGCCTTCTTGTGTGCTGAATATTTTCCCTTTAGATTTAGTTCAGAAAGCCAGTGTTAAAACCAGGAGATAAATTATTTATAATTGGGGAAAGATTAATATAAATTGTGGATATATATATTACACCTGTATGTAGATGGATGCCATAGATGTGAAAGGCAACACAAAAATGCCAGGTAATTCATTTGATTGGAGTTTCTTGGTTTTTGAAATTTTTCTTCTTCTTCATTTTGGTATATATTTCATTTGGCAATCAATAATACCTTTTTAAAATATTGTAAAAGATTTATCATGAACTGTAATTTCATGTGCTATTTTAAGTTACACAATACATTTCATGATTTTCTAAGCTAGATTCTTTATATTTAATGACTTTTTAAAGAGATGAGTCAGGGATCAGAACTTATTAAGATGGTTGAATGATTCATTAATGAAGGATCATAGAAGCTGTTATTTTCCTACCTTTGTAGTTGTATACCATTAATCATACATAGTGGGATAGAAGCAAAAATTTCCAGCTGAGTGGTCCTTGAAACTTACTTTGAACTTCTCTAGATTGTTGTTCTCTAATCATTTGGTTACTTTTGATTTAGAAGTTTGTCTGCTTAGCTCAGTATGGAGAGCATAGAAATAGTAATCCAGGGGTTGAATTTGTTATCCAGGGATTGTTGGTAAATGCATCCTTAGATGGATGTAATGGTGTAATTTTTCAGTGAAAATTGATCTCTGAGATAGTTTCTTATGGTCATTTGTCCTTCACCTCTAATTCTGAAATAATGTGGGGTTAGTAGTCTGTTATATAGGGAGAAGTTGGTAATTACTGGTTAGTTATTCAGAAAAATATGGTCAAGTGGATAAACCGCCAAGATAATTTTGACCAAAAAAATGTGTTAAAATCTTGGGTAAAAAACCAGAAAAACAAACAAATTTGTTTTGTTAGGAAGATTTGGTCCCTTCTAAATTAAGTCCCTTCAAACCACTCCACTCACCAGTTTGTTCCAGTTGGTTACATGAAATTGTTCAAGGACAATGTCACAAAAACTGATTTATGAAGTCATTGCACAAGGCCGCCATGTCTCCATCAATTCTTAATACTAAAACTGCTATGTGTTCAAAATCCAGTGCTTATTAGATTGAAATTTTGTACAACAACAAACATGTTTACTTGTTTTTGTGACTTGGATTAATGAGAAAATATGGGATTCTCTGTATAAAAGGAAATTTCAGCAAATATTAATTTTGCGTCTGAGAATAATGCTTTTGTTGTAAAGTTGAGGGGTGAAGTTTTGTAAGCAGTGGTGGATTGTATGAAGAATACAATGATAAATGATGTATTCTCAATTTACTGTCTTTTATTGAAACTGTAGAAAATTCTTTGCCTTAATAAATCTTTAGGAAAAACATCAATTTTTTTTTTACGCCGAAATCTGTTTCAGTGCTTTTTATTGCGATTTTAGTTGTTTTATTTTTTTTCGTTTTTTTTTTAAATGCAGAATAAAAAAAATATTTTAAGTCTTTATCATGTAACAGAGCTTTGTTGATGTAAAATGGAGTGTTAAAGCTGCATGCTTGCAGATGAGCCAAAATATTTCAAGAAAATCAAACTTGAGTAAAATGTACCGAACTTCTTTTAAGATTCTAAGAAAAGTAAAAGATTAGAGATTTAAGTAATAATTTATGCTATATTTGTTTAATGACTGATCTTGTAGTATTCATCACCATAATTCTACTGAGTGACTAACAATTCATTAAGGGTTATTTTGGGCTATTTTTGCATATTCTGACCTATTTTGGTAATTTTCTTAGATTTTAAGTGCCATTTGCAATGTGTAAATTACTTTCTTTGTTAATTTGACAGAATTTTACTTTTTAATACATTTTAAAAATATATGAAATTTAGCATGAGTCTGCTGCTTTAAATTAAAATTCAAAAGAATGCCCTCATAGATAAAACTGAAAATTTAAGCATGTGAAAATTTTTAATTAATTAGTAAGTCAAGAAACAAGAAAATTAATGGAGTTTTGTTGTTGTTACACTAAATATGTATTCACAGTATTATAAACGTACACATTTTAAATATTAAAGTCACGTTAATAACTTGCTACATGTACATTCAATGTATATCTCCTCTGATGTTACATATAATAATGACATTAATTTGTTAGGAGTGCAGCGTTGCTTGGGAATATACATGTATATATATAACAAAAAACACAGTCTATGAGTTGACTTATTTAATGATTTGCCAACCGGTTTCTCCTATGATCTACCATCAGGGCAAATGTATATATATGATATTCTGCTTTACTATATTATAATTACATGCTGTTAAAATTAGCTCACACTTTGTTGGCAGAGTGTATTTATTTAGGAAAATAAAAGTACAAAACTGTGGTAATACAATGAATAATTCATTACAAGTCAGTATCACTTATATGACAACATCATGACAGTCCCACATGGTGGAAAGTTTGTAAATTTTCTCTAAATTCATGGTTGAATATTGTTGTCTCGATCTTCATGTGAAGAAAATTCATAAATTTTATGTTTTGCATGTTAAGGCAACTCACAGTATCATGTTTAGTATTTATTTAATATATATAACGTAATGAATGTTTTGTATATTTCTATATGGAAGGATAATTAAGCTGTTTGTAACTAAAATGAATACATTTGCGTGTTTACATTAAAACTAGTAAGAACTTAGAAGGAGGTGAATGGAAAAGGTTTAAAGACCTTGTTTAGTGTATATACTTCGCCCTCATTTCCCCCTAGGATCTTTTGCTGGACATACATGTATTAGGGGCCCCTAAAGTGGCCTTAAATCCCTAGCCCATCGGGCATCCCATTTTACCCCTCCCCTCCCCTGAAAAATAAGTCATTTAAGGAATGCAACATGTTGTAGTAAATCAAGCTTCTTTTTTTTCAATTGTTAATCATTTTGCAGTTAGAGTTACATGTAATGCTATAAAACAATGCAAAGTAGGTGTGTTTCTTTTGCCTGTAAGTTGTTTTGAGATAATTTAGTTAACTTGTCAATAACTGCATTAATAAAAGCAATTGTTTCAGACAATGAAATACCACGGAAACAATCTGGCTTGTAACTGACATACCTGGAAAATAATTGGAAACATTTGTTTATTTTTTATTTAGAGAAAGAAGTATCTGTCAGTTGCTGGAATATATATTGAAAAAGCTTCAGGCCAAGGAATTTCCTACCATTAGGAAGGTCAGTGTACCAAAGTACATTCCGGGGATAGGTGAAATAATTACTTGTTAAGTAGAGTTCAAACCGACTTTCTGAACTGATTTCTTTGGAATTTTTCCCAAAGTTATTGAATTCAATTCATTGTAAAGGTGTGTAGAATTTTAAAATTCATGTCATGAGGTGTATTTTCCATATGTACTTTGTTGCTGTTCTCTAAACATTCCCGTAAGTAGAACATAGAATGAGTCAAGAAAGCATGGAATAATTTCAAAGAGGTTGGCAAAATATATAAACATTTTTTCTTATTTAGTTTATAAGAATTTAAATGAGTTTGATTGATAAGCTTATGAAACACTCTTGAATCCTTTCCTTGAATTCAGTACGAAGCAATGAGTGTAAAGTTTCTTGCTCCAAGAAACAATGGCTTGCCCTTAATCTTTGCGGCCAGCAATTCTTAGATCACTATATCACTATATCACTCAGCCACGCTGCCACATATTTTCACATTTTAACCCTAATGCCATGTTAAAATTTTACTATGAATGCTGAGTGAACAAAATTATTTATCATTTTTAGGAAATTTTTTAAAAATATATTTACTGGCTGAGAAGTGAACCCAGAGGGCAAAAATGTGCCTCCTGATCTCGGTCTGAATTGGTCGCATGGGTAAAATTTGCTGCCTGTAGGAAGCTTAGGATTAATACAGACTGTAAATATTTAAGCATTGCAAAAATAAAAAAAAATAAAAGATGAGAAAATTTGTCCACCACAATCACTAATATTATAAATATATAGACAAGAATCATCTTAGAAAATATAATAATTAACCAACTTTATCCTGTAGTAGATAATTACCTTCTTGTGAGAGAGATGTCACTCGGTCATATAAAACATGTCTGAGACAATATTTTAATGTTATTTGGTCTGCGTCTATAAAATTAAGTCTTTGAGCCATGTGATGCATTATGTAGCAAATCAGACAGACTGAAGCACATAAAACTATATTGGTAAGGGAAACACATTTTTTTACCAGAAACTTGTGCATTAATATGTTTTGTTTGATAGGATAGGATATTGTTACAGTGCTTTTACAGTTGACAGATTGGACCAGTTTTACCCAAAGACCATCTGTCTAAGCCGAACAGTAAAGTATAACTACGGGTTACTTGGTTAAGTGTTCTTCGGATCAACATTAACATTTGGATTTAATATTCTGAATTGAAGTATTAGGACCTGTCCAATAGCTAAGAAAATTATGGTGGAGATTCAATAATATTTAAAAGTAAGCATCCGACAAAATGGTTTGGCCGTGCAGGCTGGCCTAGCTATGCTACTATTAGCTAGCTGACCAGTAAAATACATGTAAGAGTATGTATGTTTGGGTTTGTTCGCCATTCATAAAATAATGGTTAGGGCAAACATACAAGTCATGTAGGTTGGATTCTATTGATGATATAGCTCTCTAAGGGTTGGTATGAGGTTCAGAATAATATAGAGGATATTTGTTTAGTTCAGTGTAAGATCGGAATATATTTCACCGAGTGAGCACCAAAAGGTGTATTTCACGAGTGGCGCAGCCACGAGTGAAATATGAACTTTTGGTGTTCACAAGGTGAAATATATTTCGATCTTACACTGAACTAAACAAATTTTCTTTTTATTATATGCAAAGAAACGTTTTAAAAAGACATTAAACCTAATACTGAATGAAAAGCGCGCCAAATAATAATACAACGTGACGTCATTTACGACGTCACGTCATTAAGTTGGTTCCCATTACTGTGCACGCTGGTATTTCACTGAAACAAGGGAAGGGGCTTAAATTCAAAACAGTGAAATTATCAAAGTGGTAATTTCACCGTTTCAAACAGTGAAATTACCAGTTTTATATCACTGGTATATTTGTATAAACCACCGAAAAGCATGTAATAAATGCTTGTCAGTGTAACATAAGCACTATCTAATTA